TTGGGTAACTTTGTCACACTCATGATACCATACCTCTATTCTACTGTGAGGTGTCCTAAAAACCCTTTCAACTCATTATTTTATGGTTGCTCTACCAAGCATAGCCCTAAAATATGTTATTTTGAATAGTTAGCTAATACAGGCACTTGGTTATTGGGAAATGTCAAATGAGGTTAATTCTGTCACAATATATGAAATTTAAAATTTTGGGCGAATAATTTATATCTGATTTTGGTTTGAAAGGCGGGAAAATTTTATATGATGACAATGTAGTTGATGCAAGTTAAGATCAGTTGATGTTTACATTGTCACAAAAAATTATACGAAATCGTAAATAGATTAAAAACAATGATTATAGAATGAAATAGTCTCTTAAATAATAACTCTTATAATAACTGATGTGACAAAGTAAACATGTCTTGCCCCTATTTTGAAGATCTATATTCTATACCTCTATTAGAATATTGTCCAGAACATCAGAGCTTAAGTTTAACAATTTTAGGTTAAATTTGTCAAAGTCACTAAAAATGTGACAAAATTAACTTTTCATGCCCCAACAATTTCAAGATAGTGTGTAAAAATTAACATTGGCTGCTTTATTACCTATATAAATCAATCCAAACTACAAAAAATATATGTTTATGTGATGACGATTACCTAACACTTATAATAACTGATGTGACAAAGTAAACATGTCTTGCCCCTATTTTGAAGATCTATAACTCTATTAGAATTCAACATTCTTTCAGAAACGATTGGAAGAATATTGTCCAGAACATAAGAACTCAATTTTTAAAATTTAGATTAATTTGTCAAAGACATTGAAAATGTGACAAAATTACCTTTCCCTGCCCCAACAGTATCAAGATAGTGTGTTAAAATTGGCATAGGATTTATTACAGGTATATTAAAGTATTAATCGATCCAAACTACGAAAAATATCTTTTAATCTGATGACGATTACCTAACTCGCTCTTATAATAACTGATGTGACAAAGTAAATATGTCTTGCCCCTATTTTGAAGAACTATACCTCTATTAGAATACTATGTAACTTTATCATCAAAAAAATTTCGATAAACTAGTTATTTTGCCAGCAAGGAGCTAACAGAGTTATAATAATTTTGTGTGACGAAATTACCCTATTTTTGACCATGTAGCGGTAGTTTAATTGTGACACTGTTAACATATTACCACCTGATAATGATTTATATGACTGGTGCATGGTACTAGCAGTGTTGTTTGATCCATAGTACGTATAATATAAGGGGTTAAAGCTGGTATATCATTATTTGTTCAATTTCACACATGTTCAGATATTATCAAGATTATGTGACAAAGTACAAGCTTGGTTGTGCCTTCTGTGTTTTAATTCGTTACGACTATATGATATAATAACAATTCCCAGCACTTCCAGGCCATCAAATAAACTTACACTACTCAGCATTGCTTATCAGGGTGCCCTAAACATTCATCACATATTTTCTTTAATGTGTGACAGAGTAAACCTGAATGCACCATCTAACAAAAAAAGTCGTCAAATATGTAGGTAATGGTCATATGTACCCATCCAATCAACTGGACACTCAAAAATTTGGTCAAAAACGGCAGCAAGGGGTCCATATTTACTCCGTCACATGTTTATAGTGTGACAATGTAACCATTTCTGTGCCGGCCGTATTTAAGCGATATCTTATCACCTGATTAAGATATCGTTATGTGACAAAGTTAGCCTAGAGGATGAGACGATTATCCTAACCATCAAGGGTTTAAGTAATTTCATAGTGTGACAAAGTCAACTACACTTTGCCTTTTAATAGGGTCACTTATATTTACCAATATCCTCAAACTCAAATGAACGTGTCCATATCTAATCGCACTAAAAGGAATCGAGCGCTACAATAAATTGTCTCCTCATCGTTTTATTTTGAAGCAGTTTGTATGGATACAAGGATACAAGGATACAAGGATACAAAAGTGATAATTACTTTATTGAGTACACAATAGTTGTAATTGTGAAATAATTTAAGTTACACAATTCTAATTATTTACAAATGTGTAGGGATAATTTAGAAATGTTATATAATTTAGAAATGTTTTATAATGTTATATAATGCGAGAAATGTTATATAATAAATCGAGTTTGTATGGTTCAATTTTATTTTAAGGTCCTATAGCATTATGCACTTGCCAGTATTTGAGTGGAAATCTGGGCTCTTATAATAGGCTGTATATTATCCGTTTACAGAGAGAATCGAACGGATTGCTCTTGCTGTGGCAGTGAGTGTGGTAGGATCTAGAGTTTTGTTGGAGAGCAAACCAGCTAGGTCAGTAATTTTTTGGGGATGGAAATTGAATTTTTCCCTAACTGAGGAGTAGAGCAAACAGTCAATCAATACGTGACTTTCGTCCTCAATAGGCTTGAGCCCTTTGCTGAAAAAGCAGTAGGTGCACCAACGTTCTTCTCTTGGTACAAGGGAGGTTTCGTATCTGCCCCTTTCGATGTATAGGTTGTGGCAGCTGATACGAAACCTTGTCATACTTTTTCGAACATCAGGTATTTTGATAATTCGTAGATATGCCTCTGGTTCGAAATCATGTTCAATTAAGTTATAGAATTCTAGTTTTGGCGAGGAGGCCTTGGCAGCTTTCCAGGTATTCACGAATTCTTCCCTCATGTTATAACTGATTTGGGTGGAGAGCTTAGATTTTGAGGAAGATGAGGGGGTGAAGTTGTATTTGGTGAGAAGCTTTGAGATGTTGGTATACCAAGGAAGTCCCAACATGACAAACAATTTCCTTCAACTGAATTCTTCTAAGACTGAAGTCATCGTTATATCCTCTAAATTTGACTCAAAAAATATTCCAGCCTCTCTACAGATTGTTAAGGATCAAGAGCCACATGTTGTTAGTGGAACTGTGAAGAGTCTTGGGCTGTATTTGGACAGTTATCTTTCAATGAGTGATCAGATTACGTCAGTGGTTCAAGCATGTAATATTCAGATCAGAAATTTGTGGTTTATTGCATCAAAACTGTCTTTTAACCTTAAGATTCAGCTTGTTCATGCTCTAGTACTCTCTAGAATTGATTATTGCAATAGCGTATATTTTGGACTGAGCTCTTATGATCTAAGTCGTTTACAGAAGGTGCAAAATTCTGCTGTAAGATTTATTTTCGGGAGAGGAAGAAAGGCACACACTACTCCACTACTTAAGAAAGTTCATTTTCTACCAGTTAGATTTAGAATAGATTTTAAGATTGCCCTACTTGCCTTCAAGTGTTTAAATAATATAGCTCCTCCTTACTTAAAAGAGTTGATATCTCCTAGGCAGCAAAGTTTTAAAAATGTACGTCTTGATAATGATTATTTTTACCTTAGTTTTCCGCCCTCTCCTAACTATGTAAACACAGAGAAAGCTTTTAGTCACTGTGCAGTTAAAGTATTTAATTCCTTGCCATATGACATAAGATCAGCTGAGTCAGTTACATCTTTCAAGACCAAACTTAAAACATACTTCTTTTCTCTAGCATTTGATTGATTTTGCATTTACATAGGTAAAATGAACTTGTCATGTCTAATTTTCAATTAAACTAAGCTCAGTTAATGTAAGAGCCGCTTTAGAAAGCACTGGAGTTTATCTCCAGGATTAAATTATATTGAGTTATATGATTTAGCTATAAGGCGGTTTATAAATGTTGTATTTATTTATTATTTATGATTTGTTCGTGAAATACAGCACAGAGTAGTTCGTTTTCAGTGTTTTCAAGGCGACTATAGTAATCTATTGCAAGTTTGCAGACTTCAAAGAATAGGGGGTGGCGCCCGCTTTCGCCCCAGCAACCTATATTTGATGCTTTTGAATGGACGGACAATGACCACTTGATAAACTTTAGGTGGAATTTTTCAAAGTGGTCTTGTGCAATTTACTTCAAGGTATGCTGGGGGTTGGCTTTGTCATCTATTTTTGAAACGTATCTCATGGTTTTTGAGTGGGGGCATAAGACTTGACAGCCATAAAGCAGGATTAGTTTTATTAAGGAGTCAAATAGAATATTAAGGGCACGGTGAGAGAGGGCATCCTTAACTATATTGCCTTTGAGGCCATAGAGAGCACGGAGAGCCTTGGCCCTCAGCTCAGTATTTGCTGCTGTAAACTATCCATTTCTGTGGAATATTATGCAGTATTTATCGGTGTGCTGGATGGGCTGACCTCCCAATGTGAATGTTTCATAGGTCTGCTTTCGTTTGGGAGGGCTGAATATTATTGTATGTGCAAGTCGTTTCTGTCAGGTCTTTAATTTAGACGAAATTTATCAAAATTTTCAAATGAATTACTTACTTCCGACTAACGATTCAGGACGAATCCAATCTTTATGAATTCGATTCTTCTCCATATACACACGTAATCACCCCTTCACAACATCATCCCCAACTGAAGACGATTTACACATGTATTTTTAAAACTACTGCTGAACAAACATTTCTTATCACTTATATTGATGCTTTTCATACACACAAGTTAAAACAAATTCTTTATGTCGTGCATCCTGGGTTTGGACAGGATATGCCCGCTTAAAATACTTCCATCGCATTACACTACATAATTCTCAATAAATGTAATAGTTTAAAACAATCAATTAATTTAAAACAATCCCCCAATGTTCATATACACATTTCGACTTACTATAATTAAGGACACATTTAATCTTTATGAATTTGACTCTTCCCCATTTAAACAAATTTGGAGGAAATTCGTGTGTACATTTTTCAATCACTGGAAATTTCGTCGGAGTTTGTTGTTTGATATTGCACGATACAGTTAAAATCATTATTATATTACTATAAACAAAAGCCCTGCAATATGAATTTGCATTAACGACGTTCACAATCTTTGCAAAATATTAATAAATTTTAATAGTATTTTAGATTTACTGTTCAGCTATATTTATATCTTAATTACAAATCTGAGTCATTAATCTCATTATATTAATTTACATATCCTCAGGTGATGAAGCTTTCATCGATACCATGGGGAAACATAGGTTTGGGTTTATTTGTTCTCTACATTCTGAACTCCGTGAATGTTTTTTACACTTTGTACTACCCTCGCCTGTGTAATGAGGAATCAGAGTCATGCTTCTCTGCAGCGTTTGATGACAAAACTTTGTATGACTTCTACGTTGTTGCTTCCACCGATTCTTATAACCTGCAGTCCCAAAATATCATTGTTGGAAAGAAGAATGTACAACTATCTGTTGGTTTCGAAGAAATTGTCACAATCGATCTTGATAAAAAGTTCTTGAAGAACAACACTATTTTTGGGCATGTTGTAGTTGTTAGAGCAGGAACAAATCCAATGTCAAAGAACATAGTTTCTGGCCATTACACCACATCATTGACGTCATTCAAGGTAGAAGAGATTGTTAGAATCAATCTCATGGAGGCAGTAAGTGCTAAAGACAACTCCACTGTCATCGCACATTGGAGGCCACGCCTAGCAGCTCACATATTGGATCCTGCTCTTAAATTTGATGGGAAAGAGTACCCAGGAGAATTTAGAAGGATGATGAACAAGAAAAGCATGACCTACAAACCTGTGCTCTATGTTGATCAGCTTAGTCAATCCAGACGATATGACACATCTCTAGGCTCAGGTGCTGTTAATCTTACTGTTTCCTTTACTCCCATTACTATTGGTAAGCTCAGAATATGGATGCAGTTTGAGGAAGCAATTCGAAATCTCAAAGAACTCGGATTTGGTGAAAATGACATTGATGAAATCAAGGGTATATTCACAGACACAAACATGTACTTCCTGACACTTACATTCTTTGTGACAATCTTTCATCTTCTGTTTGATTTCCTTGCCTTCAAAAACGATATTAGTTTCTGGAAAAATAGGAAAAACACAGCTGGATTAAGTACACGAGTAATAATATGGCGATGCTTCAGTCAGGTCATCATCTTCCTTTATCTCTGTGAGTTCAAAACATCTTACATTATCCTTGGTCCTGCTGGGGTCGGAATGTTCATAGAGTTGTGGAAAGTTTGCAAATCTCTAAAGTTTTCATTTGTTGGGGGTAAAATGCACTTTGGAGAAAAGTCAGAAGAGGAAAAAGCAACAGAAAAGATTGACAGTGAGGCTATGTGGTACTTGCAATGGTTGATGTACCCTCTTATACTTGGGGGCGCTGTGTACTCACTGCTTTATGTTCCTCAGCGCAGCTGGTAAGTATTACATATTGTTATCATATTATTATCATATTCTTATATATATATCTTCAGGGGCTATCCCGTAGTAAACCATGTTTAACTGAATACAATATTAGTAAGCCCCATGCCAGTAATCATTTGTAATAATCTTACTTAACACTAATTTAAATTAGGCCCAACTGCCTGTTTGTTGTTTTTTCTAAAAGATTCCAATTTATAGGTACAGTTGGGTGATAAACAGTCTGGTGAACGGAGTGTATTGCTTTGGGTTCCTCTTCATGACCCCTCAACTCTTCCTCAACTACCGCCTCAAATCAGTTGCCCACCTACCTTGGAGAGCTTTCATGTACAAGGCATTCAACACCTTTATAGATGATGTGTTTGCTTTTATAATCGTCATGCCAACTGCCCACAGACTCGCATGTTTCAGAGATGATATTATCTTTGTGATCTATCTTTACCAGCGCTGGCTGTACCCTGTTGATAAGGCTAGGGTTAATGAGTATGGGCAGGTATTTGATGAGACTGAGACTGAAAATGCTGTGGAAGAGAAAAAGGAGCAGTAAGCAGTTTAATTGTACTAGCTACATTTCTTTTCAGTTTCAATTATAATAAAATAATGTTTTAAGGTATAATCTTAGTAAGTTAGTAGTATGGATTGTTTGCAGTTGTTAGGTGCTTTTATCTCAACATGGTTTAATTGAGTTTAAATATCTAACTATAAGTATTTTGTGTTAGGTTAAATACCTATGTTTATTGTTTAATATAAAAAGGTTAGGTCTTAGTCATGAATATTCAATACTGATGAGAGCCTTAATGTCAACATCCTTTGACTTGAACGGATTTCGGAAATCCAGAACATACGAGCTCGGCCATGTTACTGAATTTGGTGCTCATACTGTAATTTAGAATAATTTAATTATACTTGTTTTTTTTGTTGCGTTTTACAGGATATTTTTGTTAGTGTTTATTTATGTAGGTACTACGTCCTTCACTCAATGTGCATAATATGTACTATGTAGGGATATATGATATACTATGTAGATGTTAGTTTGTTACATTTCTTTTTCAGATCGTATCTTATGTTACAAGTGTTCTTTAAAGTTTGAATTTCACTAAATATGCAAATTGCAATATATATTATATTTCATTGCTTATTCTAGATTTCGGCTCAATTTACGTACATACAAACCCACACAAATTATGTTAAAAATCTGATCGTTTTACAGTTTTAAAAGTTGTATATATATATATTATCGATCTAACGTCTCGCTGAGTGACGTCCCCCATATCATCTCAGCTAGAACCAGGTATGTCAGATGCAGAGGTTGAGGAACTAACTGGAAGTATGGCTGCTGCAGCTGTGAAAACATCCCCTAAACTTGCTAACAGACCTGCTTCTCCCATAATTGATATATACGGGGATGAGGAGGACTCTTTTGACCAAGGAGGAAACATAAATGTAAGTTTGATCAATAAATGTAAGTTTAATCAATGAATGTAAGAGTACGTTTAGTTCAATATGATCAGATATGCAAGAATATAGAAGTAATGAATCTTATATTATTTCATCTAAATTTTTTCCTGGCTCTTTGCCAGGACCAACTTCACAATGAGTATGTTGACAATTTGACGACCGACCATGTCTGGTTTAAAAGTATGTATGTTTGATAGTAAATAGTTTAACGTATTATATAGCAAAGTATCTTGAACAATCAACAAGCACAATCCCAACACAACAAAACTATTTTAAAAGTTTTACCGGGAGTTTCACAAAAAAATGGCGCAAGATTGAGGCCCGAATAGTTCCTAGTATCATAATAATACCTCTTGCCGGGCAGGGTGCCCCTATATAATACTGGGGACGATTATAATCCACCAAGATTACTATGTACTAAGTTTATAAAATGTTTCGCATATTATTCCGACTGATCGCACATTCTTCTGGAACCTTCGGTAGAACATAAAATACTTAATAACATTCAGTTGTTAAACTATTTGCTGATAAGGCACTAGTCTAGACTAGTTTGTGCAGTATAAGTGCTCATTATTTTGATTTTACGACTTTGAAGATGTTTGACAAGTTGTTTGTTTCTCTGAACTCTATAAAGCGATCTACAAACTACTTATATAATTGAAGTTACGACTGAGACTAGAATCAAAACATCATGGAAACTAATGTGAGTGTTATGCAAGTGTTATCATAACAGTACATCGGAATCACATAACACGTGATCCCGCTGTACCGTCCACATTTTTGGAAAAGTTCTGGCATAGTGTCCTATTATACCGAGCATAGTATTTCAGCTCAAACGCCTTGGCTCTCGGCCATGTTTTGTCTCCCAAGATGGTACGTGTAGGAGACAACGTCTGAATTAAAAGCGTGATCCTTATCTCTGTTCCCGAAATGAAATTATGGAATTAAGGAATGACTGGGACCAATATTTCTAAATTTCTTTCAAGTATTTAAATCTGTATTCTAATATTTTGATTTAAAATAACGGCCTGTTGCATTTTAAAAAGTCGTAAATCTATCGCCTATATTTTTGTTTTAATCTGCTGACGAAAGTGTTACCTGATGTTACCTGTCTGTATGTCATCTGCAAGTCTCAAATTTTAAATACGGCAATGTTATACGACCCAACCGGACCCAACGTATGTACATTATACATTGACCTCTTGCACTGTACTAGTCGTTAAATGTTTTAATTTCTTCGCATAGATTATTATAACGACGATGATTAAGCTAGGTTATTACTGTTTTGACAATGTATTCAAATACCAGTATCTGTTATAGCAAATAAGTAAACTCATAGTTTCAACAAGCACAATATCAAACTGAACACAGCGAACTACGTGGTGGTATTATATATTAAAATCATACCGAAACCCCACAAGAAACATCAAGTAATTTAGAGAGTGTTAAAACGAGGGTTCCAACAATTATCAGACCAGTTCCTGCCAGAGAAAGAACCTCCACCCGCTCACTGAATACAACAACTTGAACCAGGAACGCTAAAACAGTATCGAAATTTCTCATCAGGGACACGGTTGCAGTCTTCTCATAGGACAGTCCCCTGTTAAGAGCTAGGACACCAGTCACGTTTAGAAATCCTGAAAGTAGCATCAAGAAGCGAGGAGTGTAGCAGGCGGGGTTAATGTATGAATCCCCAGATACTGTTTGGAACCCTAATCCTCCGAGATCTCCCGCAAAAACCATGTACACTGAAACTGTGACATAGTTGACTCCTTTACCAATTTTTCTCTGAACTGTGTAAGCTGCTGCCATGTTAACTGCCCCTATAATCGGCACCAAGTTGTAGTACCACGGTGCCGCCTTGTCTGCATCGCCATGGAATAAGAAAGTAGGCTTGGCGATCATAACTATTCCGAAAATTCCAAGCACCATTGCTATGATTTGGGGAAGGGTCAATTTCTCTTTCAAGAATATTCTACCCAGAATGCAAGCAAAAACTGGCGATGCGAATATGAGAGCTGTAGCATCTCCTAAAGGAAGATTTTGGTAACTCCAAATTTTGGCCAGCCGGACCACCACACTGAACATGACTCTAAAAAATAGCAGTTTCTTCAAAGGAAACTTGGTGAGAGAAATGCCTTGAAAGGTGACAAGCACGAAGAATAACAGTAGGGAATATGTGCACGTTATTATGATAAATTCCCCGGTAGGGATGTCCTTTAGATGCTTTGTGATGACTCCCTGCGACACAGAACATAAAATACATATCAATATTAATCCAATCCCTTTGGCCCGATTTCTGATCGATGTTTTTTCCTCGCCAGACGCTTCCTTCAGGATTGTTCCCTGTTCCTCTAATTCATCTTCTTCTTTCGTACTATCCTCTAAATCTACCGATTTGAGTGATTGTGATTGTTTTGATAGTCCAGCATTATTTCCCGTTACATCTCCATTGTTCATTGCAACAGGATTAACGACGACAAGTCCTCCGTGAACGTCTTCAGTTTCATTATTATTTCTTGAAGAAACATTTATCATCTCAACTTCAGCATCATTTCCCGCACTTAATACTAGGGGATTACTTTGAACGATGCTGCTGTCCTCGCAGTTGGTAGTTGTGGCGGGAGTCATGTTGTTATCGTGTTTCTGGTTTACCTGTGAGTTGGTATGATGGTAAGGTTACTAGTAGTAGTTACTAACCATAGTAACCGTTACTACATAATAAAATACAAACATTGTAGTTGTAGTTCAGCGATAGAACTATTTTAAAGGCGCTTGTGGATTTTTTGGCACAACGAATTTCCTGGTTAACAAGCAATAATATATGGTTACAAAACGCACTTTAGGGACTAGGGTACTAGGAATATGTTATATGACATCATCGTGCGCGTGGTTCAACCAGAAAGAAGTTGAAAATGTCCAACGAGCTAGTCAAAACATCTCAACATAAAACGACCATGTGTTCAATCCAGGCATCGACCTTCATATCAAAATACGTGCAGATCAATTGTTCTTCATAATTGGTTTAAATTTAATGCAAGACAATCTAGCCATATGTGATATGATGATTAACGAAATCAAAAAATTATTTTGGATTAATATGCAACCGGCCGTTATTTTGAATCATAAGATTAGAACACAGATTTAAACCCAAAATTTAGCAACTTAAAACTTAAACGAAATATTTGGTCCAATTCGACTCAGTCATTCCTTAATTCCCTAATTTCATTTCGGGAGCAGAGATAAGGATCACGCTTTTAATTCGGACTTTATCTTCTGCCCGTCTTATTAAGGGTGGGGGTTCACCCTGATTATTAAGATTATATAACGCTGGTTGTATGGTAGCTTCTTGAAAATATGATAAGCAGATTAGCTAGGGCCGGGGATCTACAAATTATCACCTGGTAATAAATTCCCGATCAAAAGTAGACATTAGACACTAGACAAGGGCCCCGACACCAAACTAGCGCCACGGCATGTATTTTTCTCATGTTTTTATCTTCTTAAGTTCCTAGGAAATGAGATTGACTCGGATATATAAATAGGCTGTAAGTCGCAAATTACGCATCCACCAGGCCGCCTCTGGAAGAAGGAAGTCTTTGATAGAACAGCAATTTAACCTACCAGGGGGGCGGCCGGCGGCAAAAAAGAAAGCGCAAACAAAAATAAAGAAAAAACATTTTAAAATAGTTTGGGGGCTGGAAAATAATTTGGTCGGGGGCGGAAAATTATAACGTTGCACCACTTCGAGTGGCTCGAAACGGAGTTCTCCAATACTGAATCGACGTTAATACTCTACGAGACAGGAAATCAATTTTAGCTAATGACTGACGATCATGTTTTACACAAATAATATTGAATTACACGTGATCTAGTGACTTAAGTTATGTGATATTGTACAATAATTAACCAAGTTTAAATAGGAAACAGCATAATTAACCTACACTGCCTACAGCAAGTTAAGAGTCTTTTTGCTTTTTGGATTTTGCGGAGAATTGGTCTAGTGAGCTGCACTTGTATTATAGGCGGTCACTAACCGGTCACTAACCTGTTAATGACTCAAATTGCTGCATCTTGTTACAAATCCCAATTCAGGTCGTCAAAAACCAATAAAATTACTATCTATAAAATATTTTTTGTAAAGAATACCACGTGATAATTATCTAACTTTGTTTCAGGTGGATCTCATGTCAGCTCCCTCCTCCCCCAGCAACATCCGCCACGACTCCTTCTTTCAAGACGAAACCAAAATCGTTGGCTCATGTAGGTCGTGTTTTAACTCTATGTTAATTTCAGTGCGGATGCGTTATCTACTTTGTTTTCATTTCACTTAAATCCATTTTATTTTATTCGCTTCAATCGTTTGTACGATTCCTTGCCTCAAACCCCAATCTGTTGCAATCCACGAGGATTAAAACCATTCTCTTGTGAAATTTACTGACAATCTTAGTCAACCACAAATTATTAGATAATTATGGTTGTTTAATTGTAGTACATTCTCAGAGCAATGGTAATTATAACGTCGCTAAGTATGTGGTATAGACACTAGACAGTTCATATAGACAGTGCACGTGGACAGTTTTCATTATTAGACAGTTTCCACGATTAGAGTATCTGCTTTTAAATATGATGATTACTTTTACGGTAAATGTTATGCCCGTCAACCCTGCCGTGTTTCTTTCATCGACACTTTGTGTAAATCAGCTAAATCTAACGCATCACTTGCGTTAGTAGTTCACGACCGATCCTCCGGCACCGATATCATTTTTCCACTGTCCGTTATATACATGAACTCCGTCAGTAAAACTCGTTAATTCTAAAGAGGGAGGTACGTGACATTTAGATCTTAACCTGGTACCGGTAAACATTGTCTGATCATTAGACACTGGATTAGATTAGATTCCCTGTATGAGCTGCTGTGCAGCGTACTAGGAGCAGGTGTGTGTGTGTGTGTTTACATAAACCCTTTGTACTTGTACTTGTAGTAGTAGTATTAGGGTATAAGTAGTATTAGTGGTATTAGTATTAGTAGTAGTGACGTTATGTATACGCTATCCAGTGCAGTTGTAGTGTTATCTAACTACGCTCAGTTACTGCTCGCATTCTTTGTCTGTCAGATTGGGATGACCTTCCTCCTTGAACCATTCATTTCACGTAAGTTTCCGTTTTAATAGGCCGTCGCTTCACGTGCATTTCCATTTAATTGGTCGTGGTTTCACGTAAGTTTCCGTTTTAATTGGTTGGTGTGATCCACAGTATCGTTATCATTGGTAGTGCAATTAAATAATTGACGTCAAGTAAACGTCTCACACAACCATCTCTCACAGTAAATAGTTAGTTAGAAAAGCATATTTTATTTCTACTTTGCGCGCTCTGTTTGACATCAGTACTAATATCGCTCTGAACCGCCATGGTATTTAGCAGATCTATACATGCTCCAACATTACAATATTGTATTGTTATTATATGCTGATTGCTGATTGTAACGATTAACTACCTACCTTGTTAATGAGTTATAATAGTACAGTCGCTGCTTGCCCTTGTGTCTGGCTGCTATTTGAACTGTCTGATGTTTTCCCGACTGTTCTTACGTTCTTTCTCTCTCTCTCGTTGTGTCACATGGTTTCCTGTTTTGTATTGTGTTTTGCGGTAGGAAATTGGGAATGTAATTGTTAATGTACCCACATAGAGAACATTGTATTTGTACTCAGTGCTACATACAGTATGATGTTGTATTAGTGGAGATCTCCTGAGTTTTCCATTGCTCAGACGGGGTTCCTTCTTTTTATTGGACAGTTGTCCGTAATCTCGTGCTGACTGACCTAGCTTCTACCTTTGCATTTACTTGCTATTGTATTATTCCTCTATTATACAATTGGTAATCAGAGATGCTTATTCGGTGCTTAGCCTACCTTCAATTAATTATATAACTATTGAGTAGCATGGACGCAGTCTTACGGCAGGCTTTACTTCCCAAATTACGTTTGCTCGTTCTGCTGTATTTATTAGGTTGATTCTGGTTTCGGTCATTGATAATATAGCCTGTTAAACATTTGATATATTATATTGATATTTACTTTATTTCGTGTATATTATATTATTTGATTAAAGGATGGATATGGATGATACTCTAGATACATTAGGCACCAAGGCGGGGGAAGTGAAGGATAACTTGATAAATCAAGGGGAGAATGTTAAGGGTACTGTTCAGTATTATACCGCGGGATATTGTTAGCCTGGATCAATTCAATTAACTCTGAGATAGTGATTAAAGTCTATTTTAAATATTATCATGTTTCAATAGTTCATAGAACTAGAAGGATATATTATTATATTATAAGATTTGATAAATGAACTCCAGCTATGCGATTTTTGTCTTTTAATTATTACAATTGCAAATAAATGCAACCATTTCAGCTGGCGTGTGGAACTGGTTCGCGTATGCTAGAGGTCAGATGGTTGATGGACTGAACTCTGCCAACGCATATCTCGAGGACAGTGCGGTAAGTTTACTTTTACATTGCGGTTTAATTAAAATTTAATTAACCTTCCTGTAACATAATTGTCAAAACAACAAGTGTGCCTATTATTGAGCATGCATACGAGTGACTGAATACAAGACTCTGTCTAGAGGTAATCTCTAATCTTATAACTCTTTTACTGTCGTATTTTACGTCTTGATTTCAAACTGAACCTGCAGGCACTACAAGCAACAACAAACACCATATACCACGTGGGAGAGGAAGCGCACAAGAAATTCGCACAAGCTGGGGCTTACACTGGCTCTCTGGGACAAAACGTCGTAGTGAGTATATACATTCCAGTGAACTTCCCTTTTGTGAAATTCTGTACTGCTAATCTCCCGATTTGATCAATGTAACAGATTTTGAAGTGTCATAATTATAACGCCCTTTGCTGTAATTTGAAACGAATTTAATATTTTGGGTTCGTTATAATTGATACACATCGGCAGACATTTTAAACCATGACCAGTGGTTTGGCCTTGTGCCAAATAATGTTTGCTGATGAATAATTTCTGCTGATAAATAATGTCTGCTGATAAGAGTATAAGCTTGAACTAGCTGGAGGCTGGGTCTTATTTCAAACCGATCTGTAATAAATCTTATCGTTCAGTCACAAGTGCAGTCGTACGGTCAAGTTTTGCTCTCGACAGTTGATTTAGCTAAAGTTAAAGATGATAGTAAGTTAAACCTTGTAATTATTGCTCTGTGAATTGTGATATCGACACGTCTTCGATAATTAGATTGTAACGGAAGTCTAAGTTCTGGCGCGACATGTAATCTTGCACAAGATGCTGGTTTCTTAGATTCGATTCTTTCCGCTTCCTGAATTGACAAGATTTTAAAGACTTATATCGCATTATCCTATGACTGAATATACCAAGATTTTCGGGGACTTACCCCGGGTCAAGCTCTCCTCCGCAAGCAGATGAGAACTAATGAAAGATTCCTTGTTTTCTATAACAAGTTTTGGGATATTATTGATATTGAAAGCAAAGCTTTCTTCGCGCAAAATGACGCGCGCTAAATTCAATTTTTCGTTCTGCCGATTCGTTCGATCGATCGCTTAGGTACTTTTAATTCCTCATTTACACGTTTAAGTAACACCCTAATAACTAATTTATGCTAAAATTGATCATAACATATCCCTATTACCTATACGATACTGGGGACGGATCTCTCTTCTGAACGACACTTAACGTATTTCATCATTCCAGCGCCGATCGAGTTGAGCATAATCTGCGAGAAGCACATTGACGCCAGCTCTTTGAACGCTGCTTTCCAAGAGGTGTTTTACAATACCACCTCCTGTGGTTACGATGTAGTATCTGGTTTGGCAGCACAACTGGTCGGTCCAGCATCTGCTATTGAGGTTAATATGTTAACAGTTTAATGTTAGTATTACTCATGTCAAAAAGATGGCAATAAATTAGATCATACTTGTTAAATATAAGTCATAAACAAGGGATAGTTAAAAACAACGTCCAAGTCTAATCTTTCCCTTAAACGAGTAACTAATTATTATAAAATATAACTTCTAAAATATAAACATGTATGATGTGTAGGGTTGTAAACTGAGGATTCAAGCAGCCCGAGCGCAGAAGTTGGTATCAGATGGATCAGTTGTGGTTGCAGTCGACAGTTTTATCAATGAAGTAGTCCCTGGAACGTAAGTTGCAATTCTAAAGACTATATTTTCTGAGGATCATCATAATATGTATAATAAGTTTTAATTTTCAAAACTCTCGTTCTCACCATGACACAAAATAAAAACTAATGTCGAGAACCAAAACAAGGATCTCAAATCACCCGATTCTCATTCAGATGGGTAGAACAATACTGCATGTTGGTAAATGACCTGCAACACGAGATAGATCTGCATGTGTTCAGTCAGCCGGTAAACGTACCAGCCTCTCTTATCATCAAATCTAAAGATGCCACCCCGGCTGAATATGCTCTGCGATCTTCAGGATACGCTAAATCCATTATCGAGGTGGGGCATATGTCTGACGCACTTGTTATTTATCATTATAGACAGTTTCCTTTTGTGATTATGTTCATTTTTATCAGGGCTGTTGGAAATTTAGCATTTTCTTGTTTGAAGAATTCCTCAGTGTGTATAAACATTGAATATTACAATTTTGAATGAAATATTCGCACCCCTAAGCTAACATAACCATTTCAGGTGATATCAGAGACATTTCCCGATGTAAACATCAAAGATTGGTACAGTCCATTTGTAGGAATCTCCAACAAGAAAATCCTCTACCTTGTATCCCAACTTTTAGCTGCGCTTTATCATCAACGACTGGTAAATACGCAACGTCCCGGTGTCAAGAGCGATGAGGAAGATATCGATGTGGACGCCATGGAACGGTCGTAGCTAAAAAATAAGACACTAAGAACGTAGTTATAGTTCTCAAGCTTTCAAGATGAAATCGTTTCAAGGAGCGAAAATGTATGGTTTGTGTTTATGTGTTCATGAGTTATGAAAAAACTTCTGCCGTCGATCGGCAAAATCGTGAACCGAATTGTGAGATTGTGATGAATTTATTATTGGTAATTCATGTTTCAAGTTTTAAGATTTATTTATTCAAGATAAATCCGAGCTCCTTTCCAATTTACGTTTATGGTGATATTGAACAAATTTGGTATCATGCTGTTGACAGAATGATAATTCAATTTATAGATCCGATAATTGATTCGTTGCATGGTAGCTGTGACTTTAGCAATTCTGACAGATTCCCGAGGTTAAGATGCGAAAAAGTTTACATGAATGATTAATGAAAAGATTATCTCTATACTTTTAGTTTTCCAATTCTAGCGGCTTCATCGAATTTGATGATATTAAATATGAGATCAGGGATTCAGCTTTGTATTTTCGTAACAGATAGTTTCCCGGATAAACTTGTATTTCAAAGTTCTAATTGATTGATATCCATTAAACTACCGAGTTTGATTACCTTATTAGCGGACGGAAACGTCATAAATTCGAACCAATTAACATAATTATTACCGATGGACAAAATAGATTTTTGACAAGGTGCAAAAGCTGAGGTTAATTTAAATTTCCTATATTTCAATTATTAAGTGAAATAAAATTGTTAAATTGAACGGAACTAATTGCATTTGCATCAGTCGCGGTGTGAGCTCAAATATTGATACATCTGGCATCCCTGCCGCATAATAATCGGTGAACTTTCAACTGTTGCTATGGTTTTACCTGACGGCCTCGGTATTGATCTTGATGAATTGGATGTTTCCCACTTGGATGTAAAACCAATTCCCAATTATGCGTAAGTATCCAATCTTAAAAGCAAAAACATTTCCGTTATTTTGTTAATGTTAGTTCAATTATATTTACATCACCATTACAAAGAACAAGTTGCGTGCCAAAGTCTTGCTAAACCAGTACATCAGGGCTATAATACTGGTTTAGCAAGCCACAGTCTGATGCAGGAAGCACCCATAAAAAGTTGATAGTAAATTAGATATTAGAGAGCAGGGAATATGTTTTTAAATGTTCCGCTTTGGCATAAAACTAACCATTTCTTGTAGTATCGTCATTTCGCCGCGAAATAGTGGCTATATCTAAAATGGGCGGCCACACGGTAGATAATCCGTGAGTCTTTACTCTTTAGACTAGATTATGTTATTATTTACCTGCTTGCAGTTGCAATTTCTTTAATTCTAATATCTTTCCCACCCTGGGATTTTGAGCTGTTTTGACCGAAATTCTTATTTGCAGAGAACCTGCGAAAGTAGCTGACCAAAGTCAACCACACGATCATCTTGACATCGAGGAGGGAAGTGATGAAATCCTCTCTGCCTTGGGGTTGGCTTTAAAACTTCATTTTTATGTCTGATCTTATATCTGCTAGACTAGGACTGATTTTTATATTCATCCATTTGACCTTATAGTTATAAAAAGTTGATAACACTTCACAGAAGGTCTGGAGAAGGTCGGTCACCAGTTCTACGCGATAAGTCGCGTGGACAGCAGTTAAGCTTCAGATATTCATAGGCTATATTTGTACCCCGGCCAATTGGCAATTAATAGTGACGAAAGCCAGCAACACCTCAGTCGGTCACCAACATAGTATAGTAAACTGTGGACAATGTTAACATTTGCCGAAGTTGAAAACATCGCGCGTCGGATGGGTCACATTACAAATATCAAAGAATCAATATTAAACCAGATCAGAAGTTGGGGAAGTTGAGATAAACGAAGAACTATTGGAACCGTTCTACGAGGACAATGAGATTGACGTGTCCAAGTTCATATGTGGACTACTCGATAGGGGTCTGCAGCCACTGAGTGATCCTCGATTCAAGACCATCATCAACAAGTGAATTATTCTTTCTTTATTTGAAAATGAAATTCAAGTTGCAAATTTGAGCACCTTAATCATTAATTAAGCTCGATAATAATATCCCAGTTGGAGCATTTGTCAACCATATTAGGAAGAATCCTGAATAGTGAATGGAATATGGATCGTGTTTAAATGTATGTAATATTTCAGGATGAAATCATTCAATACCAGTGATGATGGAAAAACCATGCCAGAAACTATGCTACCGGAAGATTTCAAAAAGTATGTATTTAAGGATTTAAAATTTGAATGTTGATCTACAGCAACATGAGTGAGATCAAAATAGTTGTCCGTTAGAAGATGTTTCCTGCTAAATAATATTAAAACTGAAAACATGTCCCCACTCGGCAGTCGGCACTCTCCTACCACAAGGGTGGGCGGAGATTATTATATTCTCCATTAACAATTAAAATCCAACCCAGTTTTAATTCAAAAACACGTCCTGACCTCTATCTCCTATAGATCAGAATAACAAGTGAACCCATTGCAGATGTTTGGCCTCCAACATGGTGTTTATCCAACAGGCTCTATCTGGCAACATGATAGTCCCTGACTGGAAGAGGTTTTCTGGCATGATCTCTGATATTTTCGAGCAGTGCAGACCCGGAGATTTTGGCGAGGTTGGGTCTTTGAGTTTTTGTTTCAAATTGGTTTTGGTTTAATCATCTTAAAATTAATATGTCTAAGTTCAATTAGGATAATTGTTCATTATGTATTTTCAACATTATTTTCAACATACTCTTCTATTACATGTACTATTAAATTAATGCTCATTTGTGCTCCGATTTGTCCATGATATATCCTACACAACTTCGTTGTCAACTAGGTAGCTAAGCTAACTGCGCAGCTCCGCAATGTTAACCCTGACGGTTGGGGTATATCTGTCTGTACAACTGACGGACAACGGTTAAACTTAGGAAACTTCGACACCAAGTAAGTACCAGCGATGATGCTGTGCTGGTGATTTCGAATACCTTAATTCCCAAAAATTTGGGCGACAAAAAATTTGAGCGGGCCTCTCGCCCAAATTTTTTGCAGACCAAATTAATTGCATAAATCTTTTCCGTCTACTAAATTTTTTGCTAACCAAACTTTTGGCATTTGGCCTGTGGCCCTGAAATCTATAGAAAGATGGCTTTTTCTTCATATCCAAGTGAAATAATATTTGAAATTTTAGTTTTCTAATCTGTCATTCATGGCTTGACCAAGTAAAAAGGCTTATATTTTAAATGAATAGAAATAACTGGGATAGCTAACAGCTACTAATAAAACAAATGGCTAGAGGTACGGATAGCTAGAGATTTAAACAAGATCTGCAAATGGATTATCATCTACCGTAAAGTCTGATCTACAAGCATCAGTTATACCCGACTTCTCAAAGCCTTTCCTTATGTCATCTGGCCTCCGTTTTAAATATACAAAAAGTTCGTTGATCCAACGAACGTGTACTTCACGGATCACTGTCAAGCGGGTATCAATTTTCACATTGTCTGATGAAACTCCTCCATTGAGGATCTAACTGAAATTTTAGTGGAAAATCGTTCATTTTTCGAAGAATTTGTGCCCAAATTTTCGGTCGCCCAAATGAGTTCAAATTTTCTGCCCAAATTTTTCGGGCTCAAATAAATTGTGCTCAATATAATGGCACACAAATTTTTGGGAACTAAGGTATTTAAAATATTTTATCAGAAAATACGATTATTGATGAGCTCTGAATGCGCTATGCTTTTACACCTATCAGAGTTTTCCACGTTTACTGAGATTGATGGCGTATATAATCGCGCCCGATTGGTCTCCTTTGAGACGTCCACGAACGCCTGCTCCGCGAACGCCTGCTCCGCGAACGCCTGCATAACATCCCACCTAAAACCCAGGTTTCCTCTGATGGACTTTAGTCGAGTCCTCCTGTACTGTATCGTTTGCAGCGATACGTCTGGTGATTATGTCCACAAGTACATCGGCAAAGAACCTAGTGGGGGCAGCGCTGAGGCTCTTACTCTTAAAGATAGTTTGTACTAAATTCACTATCAATTTCATTATTTACTCTGATCATCAAAATTAATTAAGATCATCATTCGGCATCATAGTTATTATGGAACATGTTTCTGCTATCTTCACTTGCCGGAATATTAAAACATTATCTGGTCATTATGGTTTAAGCCCTGAATTACACTTACCAGAGATGCCGCACAACCCACTGCTTATGACTGGTGGAGTGACCCTTACTTCTCTCATGAAGCCAACTTACTGCTTCTCCGAGCGGTTCGAATATTTCTCTCGAAAGGTTCAGGGGTGAGAAAACTTTAACTATCAAATCATTAACACGTGACTGGTTATTGGTTAAGTTATGACACGTGACCTTCAAAGAACAAGAAAAGTAGCTCATGTTTTACTTTGAAAACATTTAAACCGTTTAATATGTTTATGACGATTGTCCTTGTTTCCTCAGGTTTGCTGGGAACGACTACATAGGTTTCAACAACTCTCTCTCCCTAGCACTGAAGGACCACTCCAACAGACTCTACGCTATCGGACACTTCCTTAAAACTAACAAATGTCTTAATAAAGACGCCCCTGTGAGTCTCAAGATCATGATTATTTCATTTATGTTTAGATTTATTTAATGGACTTATGAGCTAATTTTGGTAATTTTTCATGAGTTACCTGAGCTTACTTTTCGCCGTTTTAAACGGGGAACGACACTCGATGTCCTCAACCCTAAAATTCAGTAGATCGTCAATAAACAAATTTTACATACACTAATTAATTGCCATTATTATCTTTCAAGTCGCATTAACTTTATTTTCATTTTCTTCACTCAGATAGGTAATCTTAACATTAGTTTTATTTATCTTTCATTCTTTGATTGATTTTGTCTTCTTGCAGACATCCAATGTGCGTGCACAAATTACGTTACGGTTCTTTCCGTAACGCTGGGTAAGAATTTCTTGTTAAATGGATGTTATTCTCAGAAGAGGATTCATGGAACGCTTTCAATACTACAAAAATCACTGAACAGTCTCCTTTTCATGTATTTAACTGCTCATCCTATTTGTTCGGGGTTAACAATTACATACACTTCATAAACTTTATGTTACTTCTCCACGGAGAAATACTTCTCGCTGAACTGCAACCTGCTTCAGTGCTCACTGCTCACTTATACTCTCACTAGGTACTACTGGAGGAGTTAACAGAACTAACTATCCACTTCTCCTCAATAGACGCAACTTGTTCTAGTGGCAGTGTCATCGCTGCTACTCTCGCTAACGGAGGAATCTGCCCCTTAACAGGTTCCCTGACGGGCATACTTTATATTGGGAGAACATCTTGTCATTAATTAATTAGAAAGTTGTACCGTATATGAGATAATAGTGAAGGTGACAACTTTTAACACTTATAATTCAGGGGAAAAGGTGGCACTTCCGGATGCAGTCAGGAACTGTCTTAGTATAATGAACTGTTGTGGAGTTAACGATTACAGCGGAGAGTTCATGTTTGAGGTCAGAAAGTTTTCAGACGCTCTGTTCCTTCATACGAGAAAAAAAAAACATTTTGTTTCAATTATCGAAGAGCGAAAATGCTTGATAAATTAACGATAATCTATTTCTATCACCCAGGTGGGACTGCCAGCAAAAAGTAACCAGTCAGGGGCACTAATGTTAGTTATACCTAACGTTCTGGGAATGTGTATCTATTCTCCACGTCTGGATAGCAGCCAAAACTCCTCCCGCGCTGTTAAATTCTGTAAGGTACGGACACTTGAATCGCTTGTTCAGTGCACTGGTGAATTATGGTGGAGATCGGTTCCTAATCTTGTTGCTGGTCGACTAGATTAATACAATTTTGCTTTACAACATATCTTGTTTCAGTCACAAAACCCGTTACCCACGAATATTTCCAGAAACTTCTGAGCACGAACAAATTTCAAGCGAGTTATCTTTCAGCTGTTCACGGAGAAGTTTACGTTCCACCAGTTTGACCCCTGTTCCACAGCTAGTGCTCTCAGCGATAAGTGGGACCCTAGACGGCAGGAGTTCTCCGAGAGTAAGGTATCCAATTGAATAATGTCCCATACTTTTCACCTACCGTCTTTTTTTGGAACATTTCCTTGAATGATCGATTTGAATTAGCATAAATGATAAATGTTAATAAAATACAGATGGGAGCCAGATCTCCATCACTATAACACTTTACAACAGGAGCAACAGAACTTAACGTTGCTATTCTCCTCGTTTGAGGGGAAGATGACCACTCTCTACCGGTACCTGAAAGAGGGCGTTAACTTTGATTTCCCTGACTACGACGGTAGGACTGCTATCCATCTAGCTGTTTGTGGTGGTAAGTAAATTAGTTGCTTGTAAGTTTTAGTTTTAATTCTTTCTTAGTTTTTAGAGTCTAATGGATTTTCCTGACAGTAGCAGTAAGGTTTTAATTCAGTTTGCATTAAATCTGATGTAAAGCATGGAGCAGTTCTTTAAATTATAAGGTCAAGTTAGTTGTCTCTCTTCAGGTCAGATTGAGGTTATCAAATTCTTGGTTGAGAAATGTAAAGTCTTCATCAACCCGCGTGATAGGTCAGCATGATTTCAATCAATTCGGATACAAAATATTTTTACTGGGATATGAATAACAGCCGTTTCATTTTCTCAATACTTTATTTTCTTTTTTCCTTTTTTAAATACTTCATTGTCTTGACAGGTGGCAAAGCACCCCATTGGACGATGCTAAAAAGTACAACTATGAAGAAATCGTAGCCTACTTGCTCCAGCACGGAGCTAAACCAGGTACCGAAATGAAGGAGTGAGGTGTGCACGTGCAGTGTGTGTCACGTGGCAAATGAAGGAGTGAGCTGTTTGTCACGTGACTTTCAATCCACGTCACGTGACTTTCAATCACGTCACGTGACTATGTGTGAGACGTGTGGTGAGAGAAGTTCAGCTCAAGAGGTGGAGTGAGAAAGTGTGTGTGCTGATATCAACCGTTGATAATATCATCTGTATTTGGGCGAATGTTGAAAATTTTGGTTGTTGAAACTTTTAAAATCAATAAGTTTATGTAAAAGGTTTATTTGCCCACTATGCCCATTTATTTTCTTCCATTAATTTTTTATAATAGTGCAACATCAACTATCGTTGTAACAGCTCAAAATTATGATAAGTTATTGAAATAATCTCCTAATTTTAATTTGTATTTCTTTTGTTGGGTTTTTTTGTTCCGTATGAGTTTTTCAGTTTTCTCTCTTTCACATCAGAAAAGCAGAAAAACATGGTTATAGTAGTTCATAAATGTAACACAAACATCAACATTGAACAATTTAACCATACCATCGGGCAATGACACCTCATATCAGTCTTGTTAGCATCCACTCGGAGTACCTTCTGATGGCCCCATTTGTTTCATCGGGATTATCTCTGGCTCGGTGTTTTTACGTGGAACATCACGTGGTTCGTCACGTGGTTCGTCATCGTTCCTTACAAGAAACAGACTCCTGATCGACGCTACGATAATCGAAGAACATAGTCTAGGAACTCCTGTAGTGTTTTGTCATAAAGGACAGAATTGATTACAGAGTTAATTGGTAGAATCATCATGGCAAAAGGAACATACCAATATGTTGCATCGATAATATCTAGGTTGTGCAAAGCGCAAACAAGGTCAAAAGGAAATCGCAGCACGTGCAGAATCGCGATTTTTCCCATTCTCCGAGACATATCGCGATTTTTGACGTTTGCCGAGACAAATCGCGATTTTCTTAGATCCTCGCGACAAATCGCGATTATTCCAGTTCTCTGAGGACCAAATTTGCGCATTCTCCTTTAAATCCGAGGGCAAAACATCACGTTCTTTATAGTGTGTGTTCTTTCAGTGTGTGTAATCAGTGTAGCTTACGTTGCAAATATCGAGCTCTCTTATCTTTTGTAAATTTGCGATAAGTTCAGTCTGCTGCTACAGCGTAGTTTACCTTTGCGTGTGTACTTGTACATTACTATACAAGTACACTATGGCGGATGACCCAAGTTTGACCCGATCCCAGGAGTTAATCAAGGAGTTCAATTATGATGAACAGGAAGATGTGGAAGGCTGTGTTGCAAGGTGGTCCAGTCAGTTAGGAAAAGACCTGCACATGGACTACAGTGACATTGATTACGAAAGTCGTGAAAAGATCAAGACTAAGGATAAACAGACTCTGTCAGGCTGGCTTGTGAATGCAGTAGACCTTGTTCGTCGGCAGAATAGTCAGTTGTATCTCTTGAAGGAGATCATCGAGTGCTTCAAGACGGAAGCACTAGCAGACAAAGAGAAGGTGATCAGACTGCAGGGCCAACTGCTTGTGCAGAAGGATGAACAACTTCAGTTGCTTAAGACGTCTGTTGAGGAGACAGTGCAAACGACGGTGGAGTCAGGGATTAAGTGCTACAGTGCAGCTGTACAACAGAACAGTACAAGTGGTACGGTCTGCAACAGTAATATCCTGAAGAAGGTGATGAAGAGTGTGGCTGCAGAGGAGGACAGGAGCAAGAACCTGATTGTGTTTGGGCTAAAAGAAGAGGAGGAAGAACAGCTTCCAGCGCTAGTTACCGCAGTATTGGAGGAGATCGGGGAGAAACCTCACTTCGAAGCGACTAGAATCGGCTGGAAGAGACCAGGTAGTACGGCTATCCGACCAGTCAAGATCACCGTCCCAAGCTCCACAGCAGTTCATCAGATTCTGATGAAAACAGGGAGACTGAGGCTAGTTGAGTCGCACAAAGATGTATGGATATGTCCAGACAGATCCTGCGAAGAACGAGCAACAAGGAAGCATCTGGTAACTGACCTGAAGAAGAAGAGGGCTGAACAGACTCATCTCGACCACTATATCCGGTACGGGAAGGTATTTAGCCGTGATAAAAAGCCATCATGAGTTATTTATGTCTCTCGGACACTGATCAGTATATGTAGGAGTGATGAGAATTTTATGAGTTTTCGGATGTTATCTGTATTTGAGAGACAATTATATAATTTAAATACTTTATTATTTGATTGTTTCACACTTATCATATTTCATAATTTTATTACTAGGTGGAGGTGATGTTATTGAGACTTTGGGCGGCCATAAAACTCCTGTTTTAAAAGTTGTTCTCTGTACTTGTTTCACTGACCCACGCTTTATAGCATTTATACATTTCGGCCCAATTTATATGTTGTTCGATTTGCTGTACATTTGTATATTTGCTATTTTGTAAAAGTTTCAAATAAAAAAAAATCATAATTATATGGAACTAATCACATCCACAGCCTTCCGAATGTACATGTAGCCGTAGGTACGGAACGAAAAAGTATTTTCGGCTCATAATGATCAGGGTAGCATGAAACATGAACAGAAGTAGTTTCCAGAAACACTTTGAAAATAATTTCGATTTAGAAAATTTTCGGTCCGAGTCATTCTCGATAGATACAAGGAAAGTGCCTCAATATGTAAGTTCAAAAGATGGAGTTCGCTGTTTATTAGTCTCGTGATTGATATACTGATAGTTGGATAATATCCGGTTGGAAGAGACATGGACAAATGAAACAGGAAGTTAAGAATGTAGGCAAATTTTCGGCGTCAACGCGTCAACGACATCTTTTAATACTTTCAACACTACTATATAACAAATAATTTGAGCCTGAAGATGGCGTTGCCTACATTCTTAACTTCCTGTTTCATTTGTCCTTGTCTTTTTCAACCGGACATTATCCAACTATCAAAATGTAAGTTACTCTCCTTTTTTTCTATGTAAACATAACTTTTATAATAATTCTTGCGTAAAAATTATAATAATTTTCTATTATGACTAGAAGCCGCAAAATCACAAATCATCAATTAAACCACTTTAACCCGCCAACTCTTTCTATGTCAGTACAGTTAGTTTGGTCTCGATAATTCATACAATACGGATATGCCCTTTTAGTTAAATCAAACAAGGCACACCTCGTATAGTTTAATATCGGCATTCGGCACTGTTGTGTTGGTTTCAGGCAACCTCTTGTTTATGTTGCGGTAGTAGGGACTGCAGTTGGTAGTGTTCTAGGTTTAATTACAGAACTGTTCGTACTTGCTATTTAAACAGTCTTCATGTCCGTCACATATCTGGTGAATAGGAACATACTCCGAAGAGAAACCTATATCTCATAAGCTAACAGTTTTACAGAAAACGCCGTAGTTGAACCCGTTGCAGTGATTTTCATCTTCACATTCTTCCTCGTCACATTTACCATAACAGTATAGGTCAGCTGCTGTGCGGGGTCAATGGCACACAACTGCCCCGTACCCAAAAGTCTTATAGACGGAATAAACGTTTTCAGATCCGTGATTATAAAGAAGAGTAGCAAAATGACGATGCTCTTTGTCATGTTTGTGCTGTGAAGAGGAGAAATAAATTTCACAATGATAAGTGATAACAAATGATTTAATTGTTTCTCAAAAAGCTTCGGAGCCGATTCCATTGTAGTACGTTATCTTAATAGTAATTGAACATGCGGTAAAACGAATCAATTTTAAAAACGGCGGGTAAATTTCGCACTGACGCAGTGATGCAGGTTGGCTGCTATTTCTGCTTGATCGACTTGATCTAGCACTGTGTTGTGTTCATTATAATTATCCAGCTTAACGATCAATGAAGTTTCAATGACCATTTCCTCCCACTAGGCTTACACTTCAAACGCAGTCTTCTACTGTAATTGATATGTTATTAACTGATCATCCCAAATCATAATGGTTTAATCAGTATGTTGTAAAATACTGTACAATATGTGCATCATAATTTGTGTTGTTATTTAAAATACCAATGAGATAAAGCCGGTGTATTATATTTGATTTGGCCCCGTTGATTAACGATTGTGTCAATATCACTAGATTTTGTGGTTAAACCCTATTACAAAGCTTTTTTTGAATTTCATAGCGGTGTTTGTCGACCATCCCAGGAGTTGCTTGTTGGAGTTATGCCGAGAGATACAGACATCAGCAAAGTGTTCGGACGTCATCTCCGACCACACCACTCGTCCACTACACCGTAAGCTTTAAGAGTTTAAAAACACTTTTGAACGTGATCGCTTTTCGAATTAAGCATGGCAATGTGGTACTGGTACTGCTATGTGGCACACGCAGAATCAGGATTTTTCCCATTCTCCGCGACAAATCGCGATTTTTGACGTTTGCCGAGACAAATCGCGATTTTCTCAGATCCTCGCGACAAATCGCGATTATTCCAGTACTCTGACTCTGAGGACCAAATTTGCGCATTCTTCTTTATTTTTTAATCCGAGGGCCAAATATCACTTTTTTTATAATTATATGGAACCAATCACATCCACAGCCTTCCGAAATCCGATTTCCGAATGTAGGTACGGAAACGTATTTTCGGCTCATAATGATCAGGGTAGCATGAAACATGAACAAAAGTAGTTTCCAGAAATAAAGTCATTCTCGATAGGTACAAGAAAAGTGCCTCAATATGTAATTGTAAGTTGTTTCTTTCCTTGTAACTCTCATTGTTTCTATACAAAGATAACATAATGTAAATAGTGTGGATATATGCGAATATGTAATCTACAAACTGCACTCTAACTTGACAGATCTGTTTAGATCTTAGCAATACTGATCAGTACACACTCAAAATATTAATATAGATGCTATTGTTTTGCCTGACGAGCCTGTCGCTGGAAATCTTGAAGCTAATTTTTAAAAATATTTACCGTTCTTTTGTTCAACCGCCGCTTTATTGTACGGTTTAAAAGATGGTTGGTCGGATATCAACCTGAAATGTCAAGAATTTTCAAGAAAAATTTCAAAACATTTCAGTAAACTATTATTTCTCCTGTTTTCCACTCGGTTCCGAGCTCTGGCGAACAGGAAAATAAATTGATATCCGATCAATCGCGGATCATCAGCAGCCAAATCAGTAGACCGGTTCTCGCAGTCCTAGTCGTTTGTTATTAAATCACATACTAGTTTAACCCGTGCCTACGGCCGGGACTTCACTATCGCAGTGGAAATGCAAAAGTATAAACCCACCTATTAAATTTGAAAACACGCATAACATTGTCGTATGAAAGTATGAACTCTCTCTACAGTCCAAACAGACCGCATTGAGTGTACTTCCCCCTAATAAGCTTATAATATTATCTAAGTGAAAAACAAACGAACGAATAGAAATTAGCTATAAATCTGATGCCATCACTTTAACTTTGAGGATATCTTTGCTGCATAGGAGCATGGTATTAAATACTGTGTTTATTTTCGACTGTTGAAAATGTTCTTTGAACTAACATGCCGGGACCTAGGTTTGGATTTCGGGCAGAATAAAATGTCTTGTGATCAGGGTATCTTAGTTACATGCCGGGTCCTTGACCTCGGATTGAGGGTATAATAAGATAATAGCAGCTGCGGGACCACGTTATTGCCACATTTTTAAACGACTGAGGTTAAAAAAGGATCAATTTAACAATTTTGACAAGATTCGGCAGCCTGAAATCTCTTTTTCTCAACACCCGGTTCTGGAACGTCTGAGAAATTCTGGCAAAACGGAAAATATATTAATTTCTGGCGATTTCCGGTCCAGCAGCCACAATTCCTTTGAGTCTTGACTGTTCGGTTTCTAGGCCCATTCTGCCGTTTTCTGAGAAAAGGAAGTCACATTTTTCTGAGAAAACAGCAGCAGCATTCCTTCAGTCATAAGATTAAAACAGTTATAAATGATATTAACCGCACAAGTGACACATAATTGAACAAACGAGCAAATTCTTCATTAACCCTTCCACTGTAGAACTGATTGTGTGATTGTATGTGATCAGTTTGTTCATTGTTCACAACCTCTGTGACCTGTGTGACAATGACTTCATGGCGTTAAACATAAAGCGTCAAATTAGAGAAAATCGGCGAATTCTTGTATTTGTACATCATTCGTTGTGGAGTGTTTTTGTGATAGTTTTGACAAGGCACAGCTATGGTACCCTTGCTTTATGTAAATAACTTTTAAAAGTTATGAATTTTATTTATATACTATTGATAGATGATCCAAGCAATAAAATATTGGAGTATAAGTTGGAACGATTGGAACGACTACTGCTGGTTGAGGTTGTCTATCAATCAAAATTTTAACAACATTTTAACTTTGTTGTTCATTAATAACGGAACCAGATGGCATAAACCTTATTTCATATTTGTACAGATCTGACTTGATCTACAATAGATGGCTCGGGATGTCCTATCTAAGCAAACTGGAAAACGTGGGGTAAACGCTTGGAAGTTTCTCAAACAAGTTTCCAATGTTTCTCGATGTCTCAAGGTCTGGTAAGTCCATTAAATTTGGGCAGTATCCAAGAAGCCCGAATCAGTTGGTGAATTATTCAAAACCACCCAGCCCACATCATGGTCAAAATACTGTTAAATTAGGGGAACTATGTTACTGCATTCGAGTTGCCGAGAAAGTGTGGTTTCCTATTATTGTTGAATTATTATCGAATTATTTTTATTAGTACTAACATTTCATATAATATCGCTGATTTTGTATGCAAATATGACCTTAATGTACGAGTAAAGCAGCTCTCGACAAATTTTAGCATAGATATTTTTGAATATGTCCGATTGATATCCGATCGATCCTAGACCGGTTCTCACGGTTCCCAGTCGTTTGTTATTATATCAAATACTACTATCGCAGTGGAAATGCAAAAGTATAAACCCGCCTATTAAATTTGAAAACACGCATAACATTGTCGTATGAAAGTATGAACTCTCTCTCTCTCTCTACAGTCCTAACAGACCGCATTGAGTGCAATCCCCCCTAATAAGCTTATAGTATTATCATGTGGCTAACCTAATTATGATTCATGTACCAACGCTACATAATATGCAGTAATGGGAGAGACTGAGAGATCGAGGAGGGAGAAAAAGAGAGCCATTTTATGTGACATTTGTGGTACAAAACCATCAATTAAACCACTTACCGCCGGCCGATTTTTAAAAACCTTATTCATTTGGCTTCGTCAGAGTTTTGTCGAAACTATCCTGAAAAAACCGGTCCCGTAACTCTTATTCTTTTCTTGATTGAGCCGCTCGGAAATTACACGCGCACAGAGACACACATTCTGAGATTATTGTTTAAGATGTTTTGTGGAACTCTAACTTTAAGTCTGCTATCTAAATATATAAAACGGAGTGCGAGCATTATAGTATCCAATTCTGTTAGCTTACAATTGAGTCTGAGGTCAGTTGACAGTTAACTGTCAATAAATATTTCCCGGTACGCTAGTAGACACGCAATTGATCTCTACAAGTAGTGATCAATTGTCTCTATCAGCTCCCATGCTCATATGTGTATAATATGTACATTTATTTGAACATAATGAGATGAGTGGAAAACAAACGAACGAATAGAATTCAGCTATAAATCTGATGCCATCACTTTAACTTTGAGGATATATTTGCCGCATAGGAGCATGGTATTAATACTGTGTTTATTTTCGACTGTTGAAAATGTTCTTTGAACTAACATGCCGGGACCTAGGTTTGGATTTCGGGCAGAATAAAATGTCTTGTGATCTGATTTTGGGTAACTTAGTTACATGCCGGGTCCTTGACCTCGGATTTAAGGATATAATAAGATAATAGCAGCTACGGGAC